GAAAAGTACTACTTTGCGCACGCTCGTAGGAAATAGTTATTTTCCTAACAAGTGCGCAAAGTGTTACTTTTCCGCACGCAAACACAGTTATACGAACGACGCGAAGCGGAGTTCGGATAAGTGTTTGCGTGCGGAAAAGACACTTTGCGCACGTGTTAGGAACAAAGTTTTTCCTACGAGCTTCATATCAAGTAGGTAACAACAAAAATTTTAAAAAAAAAAAACGATAATTTGTTCAATTATTTTTAATTAACTTGGAGCGAACCTACGCATTTATCAAACAATTACGTAACAAAAAAAATAATAATAAAAAATCCTCGTCAGAGCTGTTCATCTTAAAGCGTTTAAATTTGATGAGAAAGTTTGTAGATTCTTGCATATAAATAGAGAACAAATCTGACAATGTGTCAAAGTTAATTATATTCGGTGTTCGTATAGATGTAGGCTGCTAAAGAAACAGAGAAAAACTTGTCATCATGTGTCAAAGTCGACAGGTACACTTATTGTTGCTTGACAATTATTTTTACTTTTCGGCACTCAGTGCGGATAAGGCCTGTATCCGCACTGAGTGCGGAAAAGTGTAACTTTGAGTACCGAAATGCGTGCGGAAAAGTACTACTTTGCGCACGCTCGTAGGAAAAGTATATTTCCTAACTAGTGCGGAAAGTACCACTTTTCCGCACGCGATTGCAGTTTATCGACCGACGCGCAGCGAAATTCGGCAAGCAATCAAGTGCGAAAAAGATACTTTCCGCACGAGTTGAAAGGTAATATTTTCATCTACATATTTATCAATTTAAGATATTTTTTTTCACTTTTTTGTACCTGTACCTGGTAGTATATCCTGTTAATCTGTAAGTAAAGGGTGGCCCAAATTCGAGCCTCATCATTGGGATTTTGGAAACCGTAAGAGATACAGGGTCGGTTAAATTATGGCAAAGTTGCGCATTTTGATACTCAACAAAATGCGGCTTTGATATTCAGGATATTCCGAATACTTCCGGAGATATCCAGAAAAATTTCGAAATTTTGCAAAATTGTTTTTATTTTTTCCTGACTTTATTTGAAGTGATATTTCGAAAAAAATATCACTTCATCATAGCCACTTTTTCTCCCCTACAAGATGCTACCATCAAATTTAAAATCTGACGTTTCGTCTTTTGGCCACCATCATCAACTTATTTTTTTTAAATACAACCCTGGATTTTTTATTTCAGATTTTGAGAGCTTCTGATGTTCCAAAACCTATGACATATCGCATTTATCCGAAAATAGTTATTTATTCAACAAGTGTGTAAAGTGAACCTTTTTTCACGAATGTGAATTTTGACGCACGAGCCGAAGGCGAGTGCGACAATCACATGAGTGAAAAAAGGTGCTTTACGCAAGTATTGCATACAAAATTTTTTCTACTACCAATCAAATATGTGTACAAAAATAAATTTAGTCAAATACTTCACGCGCTAGTGCGTAAAGAATTTTCATTTTACGAACTAGTGCGTGAAGTGATTTACCAGAAAAATGCCAAATTGACAGTGTCGACATCTGTCATTGACATTACTTTACGCACTAGTGCGTGAAGTGAAATTTTACGTCTTCTGAATAGCGCGTAAAGTGAGTACTTTACGCACGGTAGTAGAAAAAATATTTTTTTTTACTTCTTAGTAATTTCCTACCAAAATTCTTTTCTCTGTCTCTCTCTAACACATTTAGTTTTTATGGAAAGTGCCAATAATATAAATTTTTCGAATAAATGCGATTCGTCATAGGTTTTGGGATATCAGAAGCTCTTGAAATCTGAAATAAAAAACGAGGGTCCGTATTTAGAAAAGTAACGTTGATGATGGTGGTCCAAAGACGAAACATCATATTTTAAATTTGATGATAGCATCTTGTAGGGGAGAAAAAGTGGCTAAGATGAAGTAATATTTTTTTTGAAGTATCACTTCAAATAAATTCAGGAAAAAAAAAACATTTTGCAAAATTCCGGTTTTTTTCTGGATATCTCCGGAAGTATTCGAAATATCCTAAATATCAAAGCGGCATTTTGTTGAGCATCAAAATGCGCAACTTTGCCATAACCTGACCGACCCTGTATCTCTCACGGTTTCCGAAATCCCAATGATGAGGCTCGAATTTGGGCCACCCTGTACCTGTATACCTAAAAATTTCAGGTATTCTACTTTTCGGCACCGAGTGCAAGTGATCATTTTTCCGCACTCGGTGCGGAAAAAAACGGAAAAGCACTAGGCGGAAAAGTGATACTTAAATGACTTAAAATGCGTGCGGAAAAGTACACTTTTCCGCACGCTCGTAGAAAAAATTTATTACAAAACAATAACTCCGAAGGTGCTCTTTGAAATAATCTATGACTTAATCTTTTCTTTAAATTGTTATGACGTCATCGATGACGTAAGTAAAACCCTCGTGTCGTGCAACGAACTATACATATCGGGTCTTCAAAAAAAAAAAACAATCAAAGATTGCTTTGGTTACGAAAACGTACGTCGCATTATTGTTTGTATATTGGTCAGGATTTTTGACATGACATTTTGACATTAAATTTCATTGATTGACATTGTCAAAATTAAAGAAAAATATTGCTAAGTCGTACGTTTAAAAAACCATAGCAATCTTTGATTGGCTTTTTTTTTGAAGACCCGATATGTTTGGTTGAAATTTCAGACATAAAAAAACCTATTTTTCAAAAAGGCAAATGACGTAAGTACAAACCCTCGTAAAACTATTTTTTTTTTACGCGTCTCATTTCGTCAGCACCCCTTGTATTTGGAGTTAGTTGCGCTTATGCACATCCTGAAAATGCCAGACAAAAAAAAATCCTGTGCAATTCACACCCGGTAGAAGTGAAACCTTCATCGAACTGCATGCATTAAGCCTCATTTACACGGTGCAAGTAGCTTGAGCAAGTACTAACGCCAGTAACTAAAATTTAGTAACTTGAATCGTGTAGACACCTTAATTTAGTACTTGAGCAAGTAAACTCTCTAGTCAAGTAATTAGTCAAATGAATAGAAGCTGGTTCTATTTACTTGAGCAAGTGGCATCCCCCTCTCGTTTATTTTACTGACTTTAGCGGGCCGGACGTGTGTTGACAGGATTTGTATTTAGTGATTAGTGAAGTACATTAGTGGGGTTTGAATTTGAATATTTTGAGTATTGTGTTGCACCTTGCACCTATTAGTTGCCTTTGCAATGTCGTCTGTAACTGCTTCCTGTTGCCAGATATGATAGTGTAATTTCCAATGTAATTTTTACTGGAATAGCAGGTCTCATTACAGTATCTTGTGTGCTAATCATGGGTTTTATTTCGAAAAGTTAACTTATTGAATTGTTCTTTTGTCATCCGCATACAATTTCGATATTCTTTTGGATCTTCCTTAGCCAGTTCAACCAATAATGTGGAAGATGCACCATGTGTTTCTCTACGAGATATCCATGGTCGAACCCAACAACGTTTTCCATTTTCAATTTCTTTCAATAAAATGTGTGATAATTCTCCATAAACACTCAAAATGCATTTTTAAATTTCTTTTCGAACAACTGTACTTGCTGCCATTTCACCTCAATTTGCACTAATCACTAAATTCGACTTAAAATCAGTAAAATGCATGTACACACCAACTTGCACGAAAACAAAGATAATTTAGTTACTGGCGTTAGTACTTGCTCAAGCTACTTGCACCGTGTAAATGAGGCTTTACACACATACTAACATAGTGGCGTCCCCCCTCCAAAAGACTTGAGAAAGAACGCAAATAAATATAGTTTAAAAAAACTAAAATACACGCTGGGGTGTTTGGTTCCACATTCCTCATACATTGAGCACCCCACGCTTTTTTGACAATAATTTTAATATTTTTTGTTCATTAATATTTTCTGTTTATATTAAAAATTATTTTTCACTTTTTAGTTCGATGTATCAAAAGCGTGTTAGCCCCAGAGATTTCCAGACTTTTCCAGACATTATCCAGACTTATTCAGGGCTTTCCAGAGTTTTCCAGATTTCATCCAGATTTATCCAGACTTGTACAGACTGATCCAGAATCTGGAAAATGATCTCCAGGTCTTTTGGGACCTTTGGCAGAATTTTTCCGACCCTTTCCAGAAATTTCCAGGCTCTTTCCAGACGTTTCCAGAGATTTCCAGACTTTTCCAGACTTCATCCAGATTTATCCAGACTTGTTCCAGCTCACTTGGCTTGTTCCAGGTTCCTGTTGTGTGTTGTGTGTTTGTATTAATATAAGCGTGTTAAAAAAGTGTTGCTTTTTCGTTTAGTTTCATCGGGTCGCTTTTTCGTTTCATCGAGTCTCAAATCACTCCCAACGATTCTAAAGAAGTTTCCACTTCAAAAATGACTCCACTCAACATTCCCTATCTCACGCAGAGCATAATTTTGTTTTAGTTTATATATTTTCTATTTATACAGCAAATTAGACGTAAAGACGTAGCAAGTAGCAACTAGGTATCATCTAATATGTCGATGTAAAAAATTTTAAAACCGCCGCGCCAGTTAGTCTATCATCTTACAAGGTAAAATCACAGAAAATATAAATGCCCGAGAGAATCGCGCAACGCTGTTAAAATTTGTTTGCCGAAAAGCTAGCGCGATATAATTTATTTCAATTTATAACATTGGAGCAGCGCCTCTAGCGGTCTGCCGTCGCCCATAAGCGTAGGTTTTCTATAGTTAACTATAATATTCTTTGGTACTAGGCTTTAGCCTCACCATTTTTTTTACATATACCTGTAATCATTTTCTCTCAAATATTTGCTTGTTTTCAACCAATTTTATTACAGGAAGGTGTCTTGAAACGATTCCTTATAGTGTGGAATATGTAATTTACTACAGCCAGCAGGAAAATACTAATTTGCCGACAAAAACATCAAGATATGCAAAGTGTCATAAGCGGCCATATTAGCTAACTTCACGTTTTTTAAACTTCACAAATCACAACCTTGATTATTTTGACATTTGACGTTTGATTATAATAATAGTGAAATATTTTTAGAAAAATTTCCTATTTTCCACACATGCTAGTAATTATGTGATTTTCCAACAAAAACAGCCCCAAATTTATATTTAAAAACATTCCGGCTAGAAGCACAACTAATGAATTCCTTAAAAATCTAGTTATTCAACGTCTACATACCATGACACTCTTAAAAGATTAGAATTTAAAAATAGTCCCCAGGAAAATCCTAAATAAGGTATTAAATGAATCATAATTTAAATTACCATTAGTAGATCTTTGATGATAAAAAGCTGTATCTTAATAAGATTTGTATAAAGTAGACCTAATACAACATTTACACAGTAGTTGTATAGTAATGGGTGAAGTGAGTGATAATACTCAAATGGCTGATACAATGCAAGAAAAATCCAACAATATCGAATTCGAAATACGAGCCAAGAGCCAGGAAATCAGGAACCAAAAGCCCTCAAACAAAAACGACGTCAAAACAGAAATACTTCATTACCAGTAATAAGTGAAAAGTTTAGGTTGTATAATTATTATTATAAACATTATTTTCCTTATAGAAAACTACTAAACGATTACGAAAAAACAATATCTAGTCAATGTACAGAATTGGAACATTTAAAACAGGAACACGAGACTACCAGTAGGCATTTTGCTACATTAGAATTGGCATTCTCTGATGTTTTACAGTAAGATGTTTTTCCTATAATAAACTAATAAAATTCATAATCAATTATTTAAAGAAAATATGACAGAAGTAAAATAATTGTGGACGGTTTTAAAAGTAACGAAGAAGCCCTTACACAGAATCTCCAAATTGCTGAAGACAAGCTGAAGCAAAACGAAGCAAAATATGAATCCCTGAAGACTTATGCTAAATCTCAAATAGACAAGTATAAAATTTCCAAATATTTTAATATCCAATCAAATAATCTTTTATTTATAGGTGTAACATAGAAATACTAAATGTAAGAGATAAGTATGACTTTGAAAGTACCAAACTTCGGGCTTTGATTAAAAGGTTGGAAATTAAATGTTCTTCTTTGGAAACGTCGCTGAATCAGAAAACTGAAGAGTGTGAGCAGTTGTCTGCCTTGTGTGAAGATATCACTGGAAAACAGGTATAAAAATTAGTTTCATCATAATGTCAGGAACAATTTAATAAGCTTTCTACATTATTACTCATATAGGTATATTTTTAATTGTTGTGATTATTTGTTATACTTTTTTTTTTATACCATTGATTAATGTGCAACGTATTTTTTTATATATTTTTTCGTTATTAATTTATATTTTTATTTGATTGTAAAAATAATATACTTAATTAATTAACTAAGGTAGAAAAATATATTCGTCCTTTTTGTCTTGATATATAATATACCATAAAATGTATTTATTAATTTATTATTAGACATGTTAATATTTATATTATTGTCCAAACTATACATATAGGGGAATGATTGATTCCTGAAATTTGCGAATATATTAATGTATTTAGGTATTACTAAGCTAAGATATAATAAATTATTTATTTTTTGACTGTCATACATGCATAATGCGTGGTCTGATAATTGATATTAACTAAAAACATGTAAGTTGCTTTTAACACTGTATAATGTAAATTTTGAATGGAAACAAACAAGTTTCTAGATTTCCATAATAGAATATGTATTATGTATACCATATGGCAGGTAATAACATATGTAATTAAAAAGTAAGTACAGGATATAAAAACAATAACAATAGGGTGAAAATTATGTAATTTCTTGGATTTATTCTCTCTATACAAAATATAACTTGACACTCTGTACAATTTCAAGTTTGAAAAACTCAAAAATTATACCTTTCGAATTCAAATAATCTGTGCTACAGCTGTAGACAAAGCTGCACACATTGATTTCTTGGAAAACTAGCTAATTAGATTCACAGACAAATATATTTTGATATACCTACTTATTGAGTTTCTGGCATATTTGGGCCCATAACCTTTCAGTTATTTTGTAGAATAGTCAAAACTATCTGCAATTTTATGAGAGTTTTTGGATAATAGGTTTTTTGGAACATGTTACAGCCAGAGCCGGCACAAGTATAAAATAAAAATATATTTACTTTTTTTTTTAAATTTTTCAATATTATGCTTTGATTATCAAGTAAACGTGAAATTTACTTCAATTTCATCTAGTAAAAACATTGAGCTTTAAGTAAAATGGCATTACTTGAAGTATACCTATTTAAATATTGAAGTATGTTAAATATTTTAAATAAATTACGTACTTGAAATAATTTTGGTACTTCAAATATCTGAAATCTGTTCAAGACAAGACATTTTTTTGTAATTTTTTCAGTTATTCACAATATAATCCGATCCTCATTCTATTCTGATGTCTTATCCGCTCTTTATGTTATTAATTACATACATATTATGAAAAACTTGATTTTTTTATTTTTCAGTTTTGCTCAATTTTGACTCCACCAATCGATAGAACGGGTCCAAATTAGTGGAAAACAACCCTAACATCATTTCCAAATAGCCATTTTAAGCAGAAACAACAATACAGAGAAAATCCTATCACATTATATACCATTGAAAAGAGCATTAAATTCTCTATAAATTCGTGCAAAATTGAGTTCAATAGCTCGAATAGTTTTTGAGTAATTGAGCCTCAAAGTTGATTTTCAGTCCAAATTTTGCCAAAAACTTCAAACTCAATTTGCTCAAAAACTATAAACCTGGGAATATTGTAAATTGCAGGGTTTTTAGAGATCATTAAGAGCTACAAACGCTAGAAATTTCAATACAATTTGTTCAACGGTTACTGAGCAATTGAGGTTTGAATATTTTGAAATCAGAATTCAAAGGGGTTACCTACCCTTATGAAAAACTCGATTTTTTTTTTTTCAGTTTTGCTCAATTTTGACTCCACCAATCGATAGAGCCGGTCCAAATTAGTGGAAAACAACCCTAACATTATTTCCAAATGGCCATTTTAAGCAGAAACAAAAATTGAAAAAAAATCCTATTTTTGGCTCTAAAAAATTTTCAAAATCTTGACATGGTCATGAACAGTTGCCCATATCTTTGTTGAATTTCAAGCAAATTGAAATATATTATATACCATTGGAAAGAGCAATAAATTCTCTATAAACCCGTGCAAAATTGAGTTCAATAGCTCGAATAGTTTTTGAGTCATTGAGCCTCAAAGTTGATTTTCAGTCCAAATTTTGTCAAAAACTTCAAACTCAATTTGCTCAAAAACTATAAACCTGGGAATATTGTAAATTGCAGGGTTTTTAGAGATCATTAAGAGCTACAAACGCTAGAAATTTCAATAAAATTTGTTCAACGGTTACTGAGCAATTGAGGTTTGAATATTTTGAAATCAGAATTCAAAGGGGTTACCTACCCTTATGAAAAACTCGATTTTTTTTTTCAGTTTTGCTCAATTTTGACTCCACCAATCGATAGAGCCGGTCCAAATTAGTGGAAAACAACCCTAACATTATTTCCAAATGGCCATTTTAAGCAGAAACAAAAATTGAAAAAAAATCCTATTTTTGGCTCTGAAAAATTTTCAAAATCTTGACATGGTCATGAACAGTTGCCCATATCTTTGTTGAATTTCAAGCAAATTGAAATATATTATATACCATTGGAAAGAGCAATAAATTCTCTATAAACCCGTGCAAAATTGAGTTCAATAACTCGAATAGTTTTTGAGTAATTGAGCCTCAAAGTTGATTTTCAGTCCAAATTTTACCAAAAACTTCAAACTCAATTTGCTCAAAAACTATAAACCTGGGAATATTGTAAATTGCAGGGTTTTTAGAGATCATTAAGAGCTACAAACGCTAGAAATTTCAATACAATTTGTTCAACGGTTACTGAGCAATTGAGGTTTGAATATTTTGAAATCAGAATTCAAAGGGGTTACCTACCCTTATGAAAAACTCGATTTTTTTTTTTCAGTTTTGCTCAATTTTGACTCCACCAATCGATAGAGCCGGTCCAAATTAGTGGAAAACAACCCTAACATTATTTCCAAATGGCCATTTTAAGCAGAAACAAAAATTGAAAAAAAATCCTATTTTTGGCTCTGAAAAATTTTCAAAATCTTGACATGGTCATGAACAGTTGCCCATATCTTTGTTAAATTTCAAGCAAATTGAAATATATTATATACCATTGGAAAGAGCAATAAATTCTCTATAAACCCGTGCAAAATTGAGTTCAATAACTCGAATAGTTTTTGAGTAATTGAGCCTCAAAGTTGATTTTCAGTCCAAATTTTGTCAAAAACTTCAAACTCAATTTGCTCAAAAACTATAAACCTGGGAATATTGTAAATTGCAGGGTTTTTAGAGATCATTAAGAGCTACAAACGCTAGAAATTTCAATACAATTTGTTAAACGGTTACTGAGCAATTGAGGTTTGAATATTTTGAAATCAGAATTCAAAGGGGTTACCTACCCTTATGAAAAACTCGATTTTTTTTTTTTTCAATTTTGCTCAATTTTGACTCCACCAATCGATAGAGCCGGTCCAAATTAGTGGAAAACAACTCTAATATTATTTCCAAATGGCCATTTTAAGCAGAAACAAAAATTGAAAAAAAATCCTATTTTTGGCTCTGAAAAATTTTCAAAATCTTGACATGGTCATGAACAATTGCCCATATCTTTGTTAAATTTCAAACAAATTGAAATAAATTATATACCATTGGAAAGAGCAATAAATTCTCTATAAACCCGTGCAAAATTGAGTTCAATAGCTCGAATAGTTTTTAAGTAATTGAGCCTCAAAGTTGATTTTTAGTCCAGATTTTGCCGAAAACTTCAAACTTAATTTGCTCAAAAACTATAAACCTAAGAATCTTGTAAATTACAGGCCATTTAGAGCTTAATAATAGCTACAAATGCAGGAAATTTCAATGCAATTTTCCCAACGGCTACTAAGCAGTTGAAGTGGAAATCTAGAAACTTTTTTGTTTCCTCAGCTAAATCAATCTCTTTCACTGTATAATGTAGTAATATAGTTATTATACATTTCAAATAGGTACTGTTTTTGTTAATGTATTTATTTGTAACATGTATATAAATTATTTTTGCTTAATATAGTAACAAAGTTCCATTAACGAAGTTCAAGTTACAATAATTATTTCAGTTCAGTAGCATGTAAATATTTATCCCAAAACCCTTTTACTTGTTCAAATATTTTTTAAAATTATTATTATTTCCACGCTTTATTAACATCAAGTAAAAGCTTGGCATACAAAAATCAATTTCCCTGATAACAATATATACGAATAATTAAGCTGCAGTTTAATTTTGCCTTTGATCCGATATGGATTATATTGAGGAAAGAGTTGAAACAACCACTGAGGTAAGAATTTCCCACAAGCAAAAACCCAAAAAATTTATTCTTTATATAGATTGATTACGAATCTCAAGACTTTCCAAATGATATTTGGTACAACAAAGGCACACATGATTTAATTACACGTTTAGCAGCATTTTTACCTGTATGCCTTATCGGACTGATTGGCAATTTGTGGGTAATCTACGTTTTAAAAAGCAACAGACATCTACGGACACCTACAAATTTGATTGTTGGCAATATGGCAGTAGCAGATATGTTATCAACGGTGATTCATCCTTGTTTCATATTTGTTTATGATTATTTTCAAGTTTATCAACTTGGCAGCGTTGGGTGTAAAGGAGAAGGACCTTTAGAATGTGAGTAATTTTTTTGATACAAATGAAATTATTATTATATATTTTTTCCCCCTATAATAGGTAGTATTCTATTAGCAAGCGTCATAAGTATGTCTGCAATAACTTATGACCGTCTGACTGCAATTGTTTTGCCAATTGATACAAAAATCGACAAGTGTAAAGCCAAAATTATAATTTGTTGCACTTGGCTTATAGGGATTCTACTTGCGATGCCTTTGGCTATTTTCAGGAATTATAAGGTAAGAACTATAAGAGTAGTAATTGGAAATTGGTGAAATTTTTTGCAGGAACGCAAATGGAAAAACTTTGACGAAAAATTCTGTACGGAAGAAACAATCGTTGTTAATATTTACTGGTATGTCATCATTACAGCTTTGGTATGGTTGCCGTTGTCCATCCAGATTATTTGCTATAGTGCGATTTTTATTAAAGTAAGTCACTTATGTATCATTCATTCATAATTGATAATCCTCAATAACATAGTCTTCAAAGCAACGTCTTTTTTGGTCTTTAGACATTCAGACGTAATGCAGACCTGAAAAAGACGTCTTTAAGACTTTGTGTTCTGTCTGGAAAAACATTTAAGTCCTCGGACATTTTGTGCTATTTATTAAGTAATTGAATTTTCTGTTGTTGTAGTTGAACAAATATGAAAAAATCATAGTGAAAACCTTCAGCCACCATCAACTGGGCTACAAAAGAAACGCCGCCAAAATGATGTTCATCGTCATACTGACTTTTATGTTTTGCCGTCTACCATTTACCGCCTTTATCATTTATCGGCATCAGCAGTTGAATACCAGCACTTCCAATAGCGATAATGACGTCACAAATATGGCAAGCAATGTTTTGGTTTTATCGATTTATTATTTATTTTATTTTTTAGATTAATGGACTCTATCATTCTTTGTGGTTCAGCTCCAAGTATCTTTTGATTGTCAATGCTGCTGCTAATCCATTGATTTACTCGGTTACCAATGTATCTTTTCGTAACGCTTTCAAGAAAACTAAGTAAGTAACTATAGCTGATAATTATGTACAGAGTGTTCCAACGAGGACTGAACAAAGGGCTTATTTTTTACCTTCTCTATATTTGCTGGAGAATTCAAAAATGGTACCATTTGAACCAAAAACCAAAGAGTTACGCCATGGATGAACTGTTTTTTTAAATGAAACACCCTAAAACGCATTAATTTTCATATGTTTTTTTATTCCCGGCTCTTGAATTTTCTTAATATTTATTCCTGGGCTGGCCCACCTTAATAGGGTGGCAATAGATGCGTAAACTGCACCCGCTACAAACAACAAACGGCTCATCAATAAATGGGAAATCTGCCAAAAAAACGAGCGACGCCGTCACCACCCTTCTCTTACACAGGCGGAGATTATGCTGGGCCTATACAGGTTAGAGCAACAAAAGGACGAGGTCACAAATCATATAAAGGTAGCTGTACCTATTCGTGTGCCTGGCTACAGAAGCGATACACTTAGGGTGAGTGATATGACGTCAGATACATTCCTAGCTGCATTTCGACGATTTAATGCACTGCAGTCACATGTATAGCGACAATGGAACAACCTTTGTGAGAGCAGTCAATCACTTAGAGCGGGAAATCGAACGATTCACAGAAGATACAGAAACTCAAGTTCATTTCAGTGGCATTTTATCCCCCCAGCAACGCCGCATTTTGAAGGTATATAGGAAGCCGGAGTAAAGTCGATGAAACATGAAAAGAATAATAGGGGATACGACATTAACTTATGAAGAACTGACCACGCTGCTACACCAGATTGAAGCTTGTTTAAATTCACGGCCATTGTGTGCACTAACAGAAGATACCAATGATCAAATGGTCTTGAATCCAGGGCACTTCCTAATTGGACGATCAATGTTATCTCCGCCGACTGATCCAATAAGCGTAGAAATGAACGAAAGTAACAAGAGGCCGGCATACACACACGTTATTTCGCGTGGTTTATCGTGGCATATTGGGATGTGTCGGTTAAAATGCGCGAAAGAACGGCGTGGTAAAAAAAACGTCATGTCCCCACTTGACAAAGTATTCAAATGATTTAGCATGTGATTACGCTGGGCATATCAGTTTCAAAGGAAAAATCGTCTGTGTGTGGGCAAAAAGTGTCATTTGGAAGTGCATGTGGTCTAATTTTCAACGGGATAGTTTGCGACGCGGCGTTCATGTTTTCGTACTAGCCTCAAAACCGTGACGTGGAATGACGTGTGGACACGGGTGTGAACTGCACAACATGTACTTGAGTACTGACGCCACATTCCAGATGAAAGCACGTCTAAAATCCCTTCTCATTCTATCATTGCGTGCAGCCTTCCTCACTTACGCACATGATTTTTCACAGGTTTTTACAGATGACCCGATAAACCGCGCGAAAGAACGTGTGTGTATGCCGGCCTATAGGTATATTCAAATGGAAATCGAAATCCCTTTCCATTCTGTTATTACGCGTAGCCCTCCTCACTCACGCACTTGATTTTTCACAGGTTTTTGCAGATGACACGATAAACCGCGCGAAATAACGTGTGTGTATGCCGGCCTGTGAACTGCACTATCATGTACTTGAGTACTGACGCCACATTCCAGATGAAAGCACGTCTGAAATCTCTTCCCAGTCTATCAATGTGTGTACCCCTCCTCACAAACACACATGATTTTTTGCAGATGACACGATAAACCGCGTAAAATAACGTGTATGTATGCCGGCCTAGTGAGGTAAGAAGAGCAATAACAAGTTTGGTGCCCCTTGACAAAGAAAGTCGAGAAAAATGCGATTCAAATCAAAGTTATTCAAACAAATACGTCAACTAGTATCTACCAAAAACAGCATAGGAGAATTAACCTACCTTACATAATGTTTATGTTGATGACTGGCATAATGTGTGTACTATCAGTTTTGCAAACATCATGTACTTAGTCATCGTTTATTTTTTGACTCTAGATTATCTCGGACTGATCACTGACTTTTGTTCCCTTTACCTGATTATTTACATAGACATATAAGATTTGAGCTTATGGCAGGGACAAGACCCGTAGTGCTGTACAGAGACCCCCAGATTCGAGTGGAAACTGTTCATCCCTCCAAAACCACCTGAACGTCTCTATTAGTGCTATAAAAAATAAAGCTGAAATAGAACTGGCAGGGGAGAATCTCGGTTCCTTCATTCTATCGGCCTATTAGCAAAACTGCCCACTAGAGGGACCATAACGGTACTCCGTGGTGGAGCGGAAGGTTAAATAAAATGAGAAAGGGAGTCCGTATCCTGTTTAATCGGGCCAACACTACCTAATTTATAGGTTCATTTCCAGGTTTAGAATACATACAAAAAAAGAAGGTATTCCATTTGAAAAGCAGTCCATCAGATCAGATTTCAGATCTCAGGACGAAAACACGCAAGATGAACAACAGAGCGGAAAAAAGGGCAGGTGGGACCATGGTTGGCCTAGAATTTCCCCGGGTTATAAAACCCAGTGGGGGTTTTTCGGGTTTTTTCAATTGATAAAACCTCTCATTATTGAATTTTTTGGGTTTTTTTAAAAAATAGCAAATTTTCAGTTAAATGAGCGTCATTTTCACAGGAAATATCAGGGATTTCCTGATGATTCCCTAGTCCCTGGCTGTTCGCGTGGAGGTCTGGACAGGGACTCCGTGCCATGTAGGATTTGAAACTCGACATATCGAATGTGCCGAGTCGACTCTATACAATCCTGTCGATATGTAGAATTCTACATGACACGGAGTCTCTGGGCTGGCCAGCCAGAGGAAGCCCGAAAAACCCCAAAAAAACCCAAAAAAAACCCGACAGGTTGGACTTTTTCTAAAAAACCCGGTTTTTTTCCAACCCTGGCTGGGATAACTACTATTATACTCCACCCTACTCATGTATAATAGTTAGATCCGGAAGGCAAAAATCGAATCATGGAGAAAATACTGCCAAGAGGTTGAAAACACCAAAGTAGCAGCGAGACTCTAAAAAATTCTATCCAAGGATCCCTTAAATCCAGTTGCGACCCTTAAAAAACCAAATAGCACCCACACAGATTCTGGAAGAGAGACTGCGGATTCTACAGCACACTCACCTCCCAGAATCAGTCGAAATCATAACAGAAAGAAACTTACCAATTCATAAGGTCTGTTTCCCCAAGTGTCTGCGACAGTTTGCAAACTGCCAGAAAGCATTGGTCGCGTTCCTAAGCACTCAACATGTTGAGTGATTAGTAAGCGGCTTTGTTCCAGCTAGTGGAATGCACAAGGTAGAAAAGTTTTGATTGGCCTAGAGCTGATTTTCATTTGTTTTCAACATAGCCGCTGACTAATCACTCAACATGTTGAGTGCTTAGGAACGCAACCATTGTCAATACATAGTTTCAATCCCGTCGTTTCAAGATAAATCTTTAACTTAGCTGAGCGATTGTTTCTGACAGTTTGCAAACTGTCGTAGACTCTTGTGAGACCAGTTCATTGGTGAGAACAGACCTATAGTAATCACAATATCCAGGACTACTGAAGAGATCTGGCCACTGGGACACAGCAAAAGAGATCATTACCTATGAAAAAATAGAATCATAATTAGGCAATTACGCAATTCAAACCACGTGACATTCAAGATGGCGTGCCGGCCACACATGGGCCAAAAAACACAAAAAAATATCTAGTTTCTGCCGGAATTAATAGTTTAGGTACCTAGTCAACAAATATTTTATTAAATAATGAAAATCAAAGTTGTAAGCAAAACTGTATGCAAAATAATTTAAAATACGCATAAAAACATATCCAAAACAAACTTACTTGGCCGCCACGTCACATTGAATTTTCCGTTTTGACAGATGGATTGAATTGCCAGAATGGTCTTTATACAAAAACCTGGAAAAGACTTTTCGCTCGCAGGAAAAAACGTTTAGACCAATTACACTATCGTCCTTTATTATGAAGACGATTGAAAAACTCATTGATAAACATACCTATATGTCAGGGAAACTTCTCTTAAAGAAAAACCAATATGCCTATCAATAGGATTGGGTAAATCTTGCGAAACGGCCCTACACCAACTAGTAGCAAGAATAGAGCGCGCAAATGATAAAAAGGAGGTAGCCCTTGCAGCATTCCTCAACATAAAAGGGTCCTTTGACCGTACCTCATTTGAATCTATGAACACTGCTTTGTCCAAACACGGAGTCACACACACAATCAGCAGATGGATTGATAACATGCTTCGTGGAAGACAAGTTCAGGCTACTCTGAATAATGATACAATGGAGATGTCAGTATCAGAAGGCTGCCCACATGTTGGGGTCCTGCTATCCCCCTTTATTTATATTGTGCGTTATACATCAAGGAAGGTCTTATCTATAAAGGCCTGTTCATGCCTGTTCTTCTGTTTAATTTGAGATTTTCCCCAATTCTACATGTTGTGATGGGCATTGACTATTACTCATATCGCTAAAATATCGGGTCAGTCAAGTTTGCCCCTCGTGCCGCGATGATCCTGAAACAAACTATGTCATAATTCCATAATTTGACACAAATTTTTCACATCCCAAACCAAATTTTGCACACCCTCTTTCGAAAGACTACAGCCGGTCTTCAGATGGTGGGGGGAGGGAGCAAACCTGATGGTTTGGGTTTCCTCCCGACCTGGTGGTAGACCAACTCCTAGTAGACCTTAATAACAGAAATATTCATTCATACCCAGAATTACTCAGATGATGTAGGTACCGTAATCATAAGGAAAAACCAGTGTTGTCGAACGTCAAAATACTAAATCGGGAGAAACTGGCGTTGAAAATCGGTAGATTACTGCGCAAAATCTGTAGGTATAACATAGACTGAAATCCAGCGTTGCCATGTTTTGCATGATTTAATAAATGTTACATTATAAATCGGAAAATCATCCTAGTGCCTACACTAGCTGACGTTACACACATAGCCTCACTTTCGATGGAGGCCGGAGGGACAAAAAAAAGCGTTTAAGAATTCTTTACACTAATCAATTAGGCGCCAGCTATTACGTCACAAATCACATAACGTCTCTTCCGATAGGGGGACAAAGATGTCATTGGGATAAACAAACGATGATATTCACATCCATTTGCGTATTTGTGTAAATAGTCCTTAAACGCTTTTTTTGTCCCCCCGTCGAAAGTGAGGTTACGTATGTGACGTCAGCTAGTGCCTAAATGTCGTTGAGTATGTAAAAGCCCAGTGATTGTTTCCGTGAAAAATCTATTTCTTTTCATTCGATTTATTGCTGAGAATGTGCGCTCAACATTGGCGGAAATAAGGCAATGACAAAATATTAAAAACAAATGAAGTCGTCAACGATCTATTTGGCATCTGACAGTTCTGACGCAGACAAAAATTCAATAGTAGATCGGATGCGACTATCGATAGAAAAATCTGCGAAAATAAAAACGATAAAATTAATTTTTTGGCGAAAAACGGTAAAAAAATCGGTAGAATCGTAATTATTGTCGAAAATCGGTAAAAATTCGACAGTATTCGGTATTTCGGTAAGTCCGTTGCCATTTCGGTAGAAATACCGAAATTTCGGTAGCTTCGACAACACTGGGAAAAACTTAAAAAAGCGAAAATGCAAAGAGCGCTTAAAATCGAGGAAGACTGGGTCAAAGGCAGGGTTGTTACAGACCAATTTTTGAATGTGTAGATTTTCACATTAAAATTGTGTAGCAATTCAGGCAATTGTGCACTGTCAACGTCAACACAAAACATTTTGACAATCGAATGGGCATCTGACAGCAGATGCTCGCGACATGTCAACCGGAGTCTCATGCTCCTTGGCTCTCATGCATCCGTTTCCCGACGTCCGATGTCCGAAAAACCTTCTATTCTGACATATTTTTATACGATTATGTCAAAATAAAAGGTTTTTCGAACATCGCACGCATGAGACGTCGAAAAACGCAGGCATGAGACTCTGGCTTAAGGCTCCGAACTTGTACTTTGAAGTTAAGGTAACAGTTAGGACGCTTGCGACAACTTTTGCCACTTTGCATAAGCAGATATATGATCCAAAGATTCCAACGAAAAACAGAACCATTTCGACTCTGACACTCAATGCTTATTGCGACATCTTTCGCCACATTGGAATTGGCTAAATTCACTACCGTTCCAAGAATTTTGAGTTACGGAATAGGTGATTTATCCATTGTGTAGTATTTCTGTGCAGTTTATTAAAAAGTGTAGCAAACAGATGAAATTGGTCATTGGGGTGCACCGGTGTAATCGATAGTCCAATTGTGTAGCTTGTAACAACCCTGGTCAAAGGGGCAAACCTGAGTGTCAACCCTGAGGAAACAGCTATAATCCCCTTCACGAAAAGAAGAAAACTGGACGATCTAGCCCCTCCCCTCATTTTCTTCTAACCTGGAACGCCCATATTGAATACGCCACCATCAAAGGTAAAATTGCGCTTATGACCACCAAAAGATCAGTGGGAAAAACATGGGGATTTTTACCCCACATAGTATATTTGTAGAGTAGTGGTAAGACCCAGAATAACCTACGAAGCAATAGCCTGGTGGCCAAAAGTTGAACGGAACAAAGCAATTGTCTCTGCATAATGGTTACAATGAGAAACACTCCAACTGCTACAATGGAAAGCCCAGGACATCAAAAATTGTTACAAACTCACTATTTGAGATGAGAAGTGACACCATGACCCCGAGAATAAATACTCACAAACCGTTCCAAAACCCATATTAACTGGGAAAATAAAACAGAAAACTCACTAGTCCAGAATACAAAGTTAAGCATACCTACCCTTCACACTCCGGTATGGCCTGCCGGCCGAAACACAGTTCTGATCTGAAGGCGGGATTGGAACCGCGTTTTCACCCAACACAATGGCGCCTGGCGCAACAAAATTTCATCAGTCTTTTTCCAGAATAGCACTGGTGCCAACGTTGAAATTGCACAACGATCGACTGGTAATATTGTCTTTATTTTACAAAAAGTTTTGCTGATAAATCCTATCTCTATCTTCGATAAACCTCAAGTCAATTTCCGCCCTACACACTACACAGGCAGTTCCCACGGTGACCTACGACATGCTCAATTCAAAATATTCAACATGCTGAAAGATGACAGATCTTGCCGGAAAGACCAAATTTCTATCGGGCCGAAAACTTCACGTTGAGTTTTGTACTGAATTGATGGACTGCCATTTCAAAACTAATAAAAATCGAAGAGTGAAGGGTCCGTTTTAGTATGGTACACTGATGATTCCAAAACCGACAGTGGAACCGATGCTGGAGTATACCTATAGCATGAGGCTTATCCCCAAGATCCCAATGGTATTCTCCACTGGGGAAGAACACCACCGTATTCCAAGCCACAATTCATGCAATAGAGATAAACCTACGAGAAAATCTGAGAAAGGGATATGTGCATAAGAATCAGAGCTGGGCAAAGCCCTCAGTAAAAGGGCTTGAAGCACTAAGCCCTAAGCCCTCTATCAAAGTGCTTCAATTTCAAGCACAAATTCCTTTTTATTTTCAAAAGTGCTTCACAAGCACAAAGCCCTCAAAGTGCTTTGGGCTTGACAAGCACAAAGCCCTCAAAGTGATTTGAAAAGTGCTTGAAGCACATCAAAAGTGCTTGGGGTGCCTTGAAAAGGGCTTCAAGCTCTTTAAATGTGCTTCAAGCTCTTTAAATGTGCTTGAAGCTCTTTAAATGTGCCTAAAGCACTTTGAATTTGTAATAAAATTCTCAAAGTGGCATAAGCTACCGCGTACACTCATCACACAGAATTGGTATAGTAGAGACGAACTTTACATTTCACAGAGTAGCAGTAGTATGTTTTTTTTTGAGATGTAGTTCTGGGGTACTTGGGGTACTACATGGTAATTCAATTTTAAGGTTTTCAAAATGTTCAATGGGGAAAGGTGGAAAAAATCCAGTGATAAAGTTAAATAGGTTACCAATATAAATTAATTATTTATTTGAATAATAAGTTCATTAATTTTTTTTTAAATTCCATTCTAAGCTGAAACCCAAAACCTCCATTGTTAAGAGAGAAAAGACATAAGACGGTTCAAGTTCAAATAATAGAAAAAAAAATTAAGGGACAAAACACGATCGAAAATTTTCAAGTGGGGGATAGGTTGAGTGATGATCAATTCAAATTCCTTTCAAAGTGCTTCAAGCCCTTTTAAAGTGCTTCAAGCCCTTTCAAAGTGCTTCAAGCTCCCAAAAGTGCTTCAAGCCCTCTTAAAGTGCTTCAAGCCCTCTTAAAGTGCTTCAAGCCCTTTCAAAGGGCTTCAAGCTCCCAAAAGTGCTTCAAGCCCTCTAAAAGTAATTGAAGCTCATTGAAAGGGCTTGAATTACTTTTTTCAATTACAAATTACCAAGCACTTTTCTAAAGTAATTGACTTTGCAAGCCCCAATTACAAATCTATAAAAGGGCTTGAAGCACAGGGCTTTCAAGCCCTCAAAGTGCTTGAAGCACTTTCGCAAGCACAAAGCACTCAAGCCCTGCCCAGCTCTGATAAGAATATCACGATCTTCTCAGGCAGCCAAGCAGCTATTAGAGCTCTAGCATGTCAACAGATAAACTCTAAATTAGTGTGGGACTGCCTGCAACTTCTTTCAACCCTAGCCAACCATAACAAAGTAATTTTTGCCTTCACAAGATGGAAATCTACCAATATAAACCCATCTATAGATTGTGCGAAGAGGACGAAGAATTAGTCTATCTCATCTTATTCAAGTGCCTTGCACTCGTTTAATGGAGAACCTGACACGTCTTAGAGGGGGAATCTGTCCCTGAAGTCGCCAATAAAGAGGCCCAATAAAGAGGCTACTGCACCTGGCGAAGGTGTCAAACCTATTTTAGCAGAAATTCGCACAGCAAGGAATACAATAGGCTAACTAGCTGCAGTGTCAAGGAATCGCTATACCTTGCCTTGCTGCCGACTGATCAAATCAATTAATTATAATCAGTGGCTTAACTCTCATGTATCATTTTTGAATCCCCTAGTAAAAATCCTCGTTGGTTGGAACACCCTGTACATGTTTAGTTTCCTAATATATATTTTTTTTTGTTAAAGGTTATGTCGCTGGATATTCCCCGAAACAAAACCTAAAACACCCAAACCAACGAAGCAAAAGAAGATTTTCTTTATTTTCAAAAAAACCAACGCTAACAATTGTCACGACGCTAGCACTAAAATAGTAGAAATTAAAGTAACAAAATTGTAATAAAAATAATAAAGATAGGTATATTATTTAAGTTTCAGTAACAAATATATCTGAAAAAGGAAAAGCTGCAAATTCGGGCCAAGTCAAATCAGCCAAATAACAAACCGTCCCAGCTGTGCCTTCGTAAAGACTATACGGACAATCGGGAGTTTTCGCTTGGGCCTGAAAACTCTCGCTCTCCAAAAACTCGTAAAAGCAAACGGCCCGGTGCAAATACCCAGCCTCCGATGTCAACCTGTACATCACCAGAAACACGTAACCGTTACCGGCAACTCCGTGACAAAGCCCCGGGCCTTTTTTCAACAACCCTTTTTGCCAAATCAGTTCGGCCATTAGCCTGCAAGACTGCAAATACTTATCCTCTTTGAAAACCAAATAGGCTTTTGCCATTAGATAAAATACTCCTCCTGCTCCGTGGCACCAGTGAACTAGTTTCAATTCCGAGCCGATTTCATCGGTTGCAGCAGGAAAATTGCCTTCTGATGTTTGCAGGCCTAAAACGTAATCGATTGATCGTTTAACGTCAGCTAAATCTCTAGGATTTTCTTGCAAATAACCCGGCACTGATAAAACGCTTTGTAAAATGCTGCAAAGCCCGTGAGCTGCTCCTAAATATTCAACTTGATAATACGAATACATTAGAGGACATTGACTTTGATGACTTGCAGCATAATCTCTTCCAGATTTCAGCATTACTTTACACAAATTGTATAGTTCAGCTTTTTGCAAAGCAGTGTTTGTTTCTTTGGCCAACCATAAAGCGCCCATGATGTATCCGGCTCGGCCTACAAACAACTCGTCCGAGCCGAAGCTCAAAAACTTTTGGTCGCCACATTGTTTTGCGGCCTGATAATAAAATTCTCTGTAGGATTTGCTTAGGTTTTTGTTGCCCGTAGCGTGGTATAAGGCTGCTGCAACTGCATACACTCCTGCAGTGCCTAATATCAAAGAAGAAGCTTCTTTGCGGGTTTTTGCCGATTTTGATACGTTTATAGCTGGTAAGATGTACTGCAAGGCTTTGTCTAGGTTAAGTTGTTTGTTGGAGCTAAAACTAGGCGTTTTGCTTAGATGGTAATACATGTAGGCTATGCCTGCTGAACCAAGGTATATACCATTAGCTACAATAATTTATTTTGAAAAATATTACGCAGTTTAGGTTCTAGTTTATACCTGCATTTTTCTCAGTTGGAGCAAAGTTCTTTTCGATTTCAACAACAAGAGAGCCAACGAGGGTTTTAATTTGCCTCTCCGGTATATTCGGGGATCCGAATTGGGGGTCATAGTCAGGTTTCGGGTTCGGAAAGTATCTCAATTTGGTCGCCATCGGTGTGAAAAGCTTTGACAGTTTTCTGACAATTGTCATAGTTTGTTTCGAAAAAGTAAGGTTAATTTGCTTTCGCGTATGGAGAGTCGGTAAAACAGAGCTCCCAGGCAGTTGGTGAAACAGAACTTAACAGAAAACGGACCAGCGACAATTTAAATTCTGAAACTGTGTTTCATTGCTAGAAATATGAAATTTAACAATTGTCGTCATTGTTATTGTTACTCTTCACAAGACTAGGAAAGCAACAAAGATATATGCATGGGAGACAGTCAGAGCTATTGCGAACGATTCTTATTGGTCGGTAAAGAAATCTACGTCATACACTGGTGCCATTCTAATACATCTTTTGACAATATTTTTTTCTGTAATGACATTTTCTTTGATTTGTGTATTAACCCATTACCGTACTGCCTACGGTAAATTTGATGCCTCTGATCCCAAGAAACACTTTTCCGCCCTTGAAATCGGAAAAATGATCCGTACTGTACTCTGAGACTGCTGCCATTTTGTAAAAATGGCCTCCAAAAGCCTACTTTGTCGTTTTTGAAAGGTGAAGTTAGCTAATTGATAATTTTCACTTGCCTTGATGGGAATTTAAATTTTCTTTATCTACCAGAGATTCAGTTCCTTCACACCACAAGAATAACGTTATTTCCTGTATAAAGCCTTGTACTCAAAAAATTGTCGGCGCAATGTCAAAAAAGTGCGAATTTCGCAGTTATGAGTACTAGGCTTTAAAATATCAAGACGCGATGTCGAAATGGCCGCCCAAGGCCTACTTTGATGTTTTTGAAACGTGAAGCTAATATTGTTTTGAAATAATTCACTAGAGTTTATCACTTTCTTTATTTTATAACTTGGGATTAAGTCCTTACGGTGCATTTGGGCGCTGAATCGCAAGCATACCATAGAGGCCTGCAGGTGACGTCACCACTAGAAGCCGTTGTGCTGCTAATAGTGGTGACGTCATTCGCAGGCCTTGCCGACTCGAGAATAGTGAACAATTATATTTTTCAAAGTATTTTTTTTCTTTGCTTATGTTTTCAAATATAAAATGTATATGTTTTTTTTTGTTTTATGTCCTCATTGAAATAAAAAAATTATTTTGAATTTCAAATTATTTTCGTTGGCGCGAAAACGATTAGCTTCAAAATGGTGGAATTTGTGACGTCAACTGTCTGTAAACACAACGTTAAGGTCTGGGGGGGGGGGTAATTACCTCTCACAACAGCCTTTGACACTTTGCAAACTGTCGGAAAGAATTGCTTAGCTTGAACCTTCGACTGCATAAAACTTGAAAGAGTTGAAAGTGGTTATTTATGAGGTAGGTATTCCGTATTTAGTGCCATATTGTGACATTTTGTGTTTCAAATAGTTCATCATGGTTGATATAGGATTTACAAAAGCGCAGTCTGACAATCATTCCTCTATAGACCCGTTTGTGGTGATTCAATATCAGTCGTGGCGTGACGTGAGCTGATCGTGGACCAATCGTTCCACGATTCGAGATTGAACCACGAAAGTGTGGACCCTGGATTTAGGATCAGTGTAAACTACCCTTAACCTTAGTTTACGAACAGTTGACGTCACTGGAAGCGGCCATGTTAAACGTAACTTTTCCGCGCGAAATTAATAATTGCCATATTATGACTATAATATCCATAAATTCAATACAAAACTGCTCATATTCAATATTTTACACAAAAATGTACACCATAAAAACAAAATAAGCCATATTTATTTTTTATGAGAATTCCCTATTGGCGAACGTACGCGTTATGAGGCCTGTAAATTTACGATTCTTGGTCCCATCCCAACTACAGAATCTACCAGCATTGGCTCTGATGTTTTTGAAACGTGAAGCTAATAACTGGATAAACTTTTACAAACATTGGCGACAATGGACGAATATTTTGCAACAACATGGCCGCCGCCTGTACAAACCAAATGGATGGCAGCCATGTTGTTGCTACATTTTTGTCTATTTGTCAAGTCTATTGTCATCACTGTTTGTGAAGGTTAATTAAGTCACTCTGTAGCTAATAGAATTTTTTCCCACCATGACCTATTTTTTTTCAAAAACTCGCATTTTCTTTGATGTCACACGTCTACACTACCTTTGAAATCACTTTTCCGCATTCAATTTTCATAAAAATCGAAAAATATCCGAAAAAAAAAACAAAGATGCGCCGCTTACTGATCAGAATCGTGACACTATACCTACTGCCATTTTGTTACAAAAATTACTGTTTTAAAATGGCCGCCCTAAAGCCTACTGCCTACTTTGATGCATTATGAAACGTAAAGCGTGAAGCTAGCTAATATGTCCGCCTTTGATAATTTTTATTTATCTTGATGTATTCTTCAGAAAATTACTATTTCTCTGCTGTCTGTGGTAAATTACATGGTTCAAACTTTAGACTACACGATGGAATCGTTCAAAAACACTTTTCTGCAATGAAATTGGTTTCAAATAAGAAAATAAAAATATTTAGGAAAGAGTTATTACAGGCATCTGTAAAAAAATGTTAGCTAATGCCTACTTCAAAATTAGAGCCATTTTGTGAAAAATACTGTTTCAAAATGGCCGCCTCAAAGCCTACTTTGATGCAAGGATATTACAGGATAGTCTATCCTCAGAAGTTCTATATGTGTAGTTGAAATCTCAGGCCCCCACAACGCCGAAGTACCAATGAAGATGTAGGCAGCGTGTCGTTTCTCGCCTTGACATAGGGTATCTGCACTGATTCCGCTGGCATCTCAACTACTGTTTTCTTTGACGTTTTTTGAAACGCATAGTTAGCAATGGTCGTCTTATGACATATAACATTAAGGGCGGGTTCTCATGAGCGTAAGTTGACATTTCTGGCGTAATCATGTAATAAAATGGTCGGGTTTTATTGGTGAAATATTCGCCATGCTGGATATTCTACCAATCAAATTACACCATATTATCACGTGATTACGCCAGAAATTACGCTCATGAGATATCGCCCTAACATATTCTTTGATGTCGCCTACGGCAAATTCAATGCCCACATCACAAGAAACGTTTCAAAACGCTTTTCCGCACTAAATTTGCATGAAAATCGGGAATTAGGTATTCGAAAAAAAAAACGCCTACTGAACTTCAGAACCGAAACTATTGCCATTTTGTAAAAAAATACTGTTTCAAAATGGTCGCCCCAGCGCCTACTTTGATAAAACGTGAATGGATAATTTTTACTTGCATTGATGGAAAATTATATTTTCTTTCAAAATTACCAGAAATTCTTAATTCAGTTCCTTTCACCATCAGAAACGTTGTTTTCTGTATTAAAATATCAAAACGTAATTTTGAAATGGCCGCCCAAAGCCTACGTTGATGTTTTCGAAACGTGAACTTGGCTAATTTGATAACTTTCAACAAGAAACGTTCTTTTATCTAACTTTGTTCCATCACAAAATGGCCGCCTTCAAAAATGGCTTCCCCAAGACTTACTTTGATATTTTTGAAACGTGAAGTTCCCCTATCTAAAGTGACAATATGTGATTTTTGACGTATTTTGTCCCCCCCATCAGCTAGTGCCAAAGTTGTTTGAGAGAGGTAGGTTGCCTGATAACTTTAAGACGTCATCTGGGTGCCTCAACATAATGCAAATTTCCATAATTAAGGCACCCCAAATGCGTCATCAAGTTGCCCATTACCAGACACCCTATTAACTTTAGGAACCTTGAGCTAGTGCCTAATTCCTCACACCACAAGAAACGTTATTTTCGTTGTAAAAATACCAAAACGCAATTTAGAAATGACCGTCCAAAGTCTACTATGCTGTTTTTTAAACGTGAAGTTAGCTAATATGATAACTTCTACTTATCTTGATGAAAAATTAGATTTTCTTCAAATATTGCTAAAAATTCGGTTCCTAAAATCACAAGAAACATTCTTTCCTAAATAAATATACTATAAAATAACCAAAACGCGGTTTTGGATTTGTTGCCCAAAGCCTACTTTCATGTTTTTGAATCGTGAAGTTAGCTAGTTTGATAACTTTCAACAAGAAAGGTTCTTTTCTCTAACTTTGCTCCAACACAGCAGAAAACCGCAGAATGTACCGTTACGATTCTGCGCAAAGCATAAAATTTGTGCGCAGAATGCAAATTCGTATACAGAGTAATTTCTAAACCGTTTCTGGAACAGTTTTTGACGGAATTGGAACACACCCCAATTAAAAATACCAAAACACAATTTTGAATAAATAAATGGCCGCCCAAAGCCTACTTTGATATTTTCGAAACGTGAAGTTAGCTAACTTGGTTGGAGGCATTACAAACACAGGAACGATAAATCACAAGACGATAGTAGTCGTTTCTCGTAAACGCCGCGTTCGCGAACTCTAGCCACTGACCTATTCTAGCTGACCGCAAAGGTATTTGAACAGGCGCGTGACGTACTCCGTCCCACTCAATCCAAAAATTTGATATTGGTTACATCGCTCGAAATTGTTCTGTACTGAAAATTTGAAAAGTTTGACATAAAATTTGTCGAAATGTATTGCATTAAAACCATTAATGGCTAAACCGTATTGACCTCCTATACCAATAGCGCATAAAATTTGTTTGAAGTGGGCCAGGTGACGTCATTGCGGCAGCGAGTGCTTGCGCTAAAGTGGCGAAAAAAAATTGCCGGATTGAGATTGACCATCCTCTGTGGCTTATCTTTCTTGTACTGTACTACTACAGAATAGCCTATCCTCCCAAGGTCTGTATAGTTCAAATCTGAAGCCACCCACCACACCAAAGTACCAATGATGACGTAGGCAGCAAGTCGTTTCTCACCTTGACTGTCCTTGACCACAGTTAGATCTCATTTGCATCTTTCTCTTTTGCATATTATTATGTTTATCAAAATTCAATAATATTTTCATCATGAATGTATAATAAAGTACGACCGCTGGTCAACGAAACATGCGGTCTCGTATTTCAAAACAGGCGTCAGGCTTCACAAAAATGTACAACATTTCCTATCTTGGTTTACTAGCCCCCTTATAAATCTTAAATACGCACATTAGAGCCGTAAACGTAAAATGTTCTAGAATATTCCTTATAACGCAAAAATGTACAGACTTTTGTGCTCGTACTTTCACTGAAATATTTTCTTGCTTTCTTAACCAATGTTAGTGCGAAAAAGTACTTTTGCAACGTTCTCTGTAGTGTAAGCATGTAATTTTCCATATAAATTTTGGTAAATAAACATTATTATAGGCGGCCATATTAGCAAATTACGTCTCAATCCTTGGACGGCCATTTTAAACTGGCGATTTTCAGAAAATGGCGATTCTGGAATTTTTATCGCGTCGCGTCTCTGGATTTTTTCGAATAATTTGCGATTTTTACACGAATTTAATGCCGAAAAGTGTTTTGGATTTGGAACATAATGTTCTGATGTGGAGCAGCTAAGGGTTGGTTTCTCAATAGCGAGTTACCTCCAGGTTAATTTTAACTCCAAGGTAAACGTATTCAGCTTCAATGTTTATCCTGGAGTTATGTTCAACCCGGGGGTGACTTGCTATTGAGAAACCGGCTTTCAGAAATTTATTTTGCCTCTAACCTTTGAGACAATAGAGGACGTATTCTCGTCTCCTTTCAGAAATTATACCACATTCCAAAATTCTCACCATGAAAAATGAATTTCTAAACCTTATAATCTTGTTAAAATCACCTTTTCCACATTTAAAATCAACGCAAACACAAGTACAACCTGAATTGCAAGCATCCAATCGAGGCCTGCGGGTGACGTCACCATTATAAGTTGCAATGCTGCTAATAGTAGGGACGTCACTCGCAGGCCTTGCCGACACGAGAATTGCCGAACGTACACATTGCCTTATGAGACTGAACAATCCCTGTTTACGATTCTTGACTGAAATGCCTTAATGCCAAATCTCCATTGTACTTGGTTTTTGAAATATAGCAGCACTGCTTTTCCTTGCGGTCTCATATTTCAGAACAAACGTCAGGCTTTATAGTTTAGAAAAATGTAATTTCGTACTTGGGACCTGGGCCTACTCAACTAGCCTCACTATCATAGGCGGCCATATTAGCTAACTTCACGTTTCAATCAAGGTAGGCCTTAGACGGCCATTTTAAAATGGCGATTTTCACAAAATAGCCGTTTTCACGTGAATTCAGTGCAGAAAAGTGTTTAGGAACATTGCTTGTGACGTGGGGCATCGAATTTATTGCAAAATAAAAAAAAAATCATCTTCAAGGTAAGCAAGAATCTTCATATTAAACATCAAAAAGTATAATAAAAAAAAGTAAAATTTATTGAAAAATTAAATAAAACAAATAACACCACAATTATATGCCTTATAGCAAGATCACAAAAGAAAAACTATTGATTTACTCTTAATTCAAACTATTTATTTTGTTTGTTGGACATGAGGCTGATCTCCCAATGGGCGTTGAGCTATATTCGGCTGTACATTTGGCTGTTGTTGAGGAACAACCTGCGCCTGCTGAGCTACATTTAATTGTTGTTGAGGAACCACTTGTGGCTGCTGAGCTACATTTGGTTGTTGTTGAGGAACAACTTGTTGATATTGAGGCTGTTGTTGAGGAATATTTTGTTGCTGATATTGAGCTACAGGTGGCTGTTGCTGATATTGAGCTACAGGCGGTTGTTGCTGATATTGACCTACAGGCGGTTGTTGCTGATACTGTTGAGGAATATTCTGTTGTTGATGTTGTTGTGCTGGCACATACTGTGGATGAATTTCATTTGTGTTCAAGTCCTGTAAACAAAATGAATAATTAATAACTTATTCAATAATCAAAAATTCACTCACCAAATGCTGTGGTGCCATTTGTGGTACTTGCCCGGCATGGAATTGAGGCTGCTGATAAGGTGGTGCTTGTCCATATTTGGGAATTTGGTTATTAGCATGATGCTGCCTGATGTATTCATTCAATTCTTCTTCAGAGTAAGGTTTGGTTTGTTCATCTAAGCCTTGCCAGCCATGGTCTTGCTTGAAATCATTACTATTTGTTTGTTGGAAGAATTCTCTATAATCTATAAACCCATCATTGTTGGTATCCATTTCCTTGAAGACACTCTCTCTCATTCGTTCCATTTCTTCAATTCTTTCTCTCATGTCGTCTTCAGGGGCTCCTTGCTGGTACATTTTGTCTAGTTCTTTTATAAATAAGGCTTTTACTTCTTCTTGGTCCCAAAGGCCGTTACCATCAATGTCATGCAGCATAAAAAAGGTTTTTGGATCAAAATCTTGCTGCATTTGGTCTTGTTCTTCCCACACCTCCTCTAGCTGAGCCTTATGGCCAGGTTCATGTAGTTTTTCATGCTTTTTGTGTTTTTCTTCTCTTTCCTTAAACTCCCTTTCAAGCTTTTCTCTTTCAGTCTCACTAGTATGATTCAATTGCTCCTGTTTTTGATATTCCTTCTCCAATTCGTATTGCTTAAATTCATCTTTACGTTTTTTGTCAGCTTCAGCTAAGTCTTGTGTAGTTTTGGCTATTAATTTTTTCAGATCTTCAATTTCAAAGGTGTGCGGATTGCTTTGGTCTAAATGATGATGCGTAGGGTCTTCGTCTATGGCATTACCCATTGATTCTAGCTTCATTCTTTTTTCAACTAATTCTTTAAGACGTTGCAATTCTACCCGTTTTAGCTCATCCAATCTTGTTCTGACGTGATGAGACACAAACTGTAATTCTTCTGCGATTCTTCCCGATTTAATTTCGCTTTCGTTGGCCTTTTCTAGTTTTACTCTAAAATCTGGGTCTGATTCTAGTGCGTTCACTACTTCTTTGAGGTACCTATGGTATTCCATGTAGTCTTCTAGGCCACCGTACTCGGAATTAGCATCTTCGGTTTCTTTTTTTTCTTGAGTTACAGGGGGTGCAAAGCAATTTTGGAGGGCAAGCAGCAGAGTGAGGATTCCCAGGAATTTAGGCCCCATAATAGATCAGCTAATAAGTGTAAAAAAAACTATTAAAATAGGTCAAATAATTATATATACTGTCTTACCTGTTTTATTGTAGATTATTACGAAATGAACATAATTTTCACTGATGTGGCCTTTCCTGGTATTTATTATTGAACGATTTTGGATTAGAGGTCGATTACACACAAACAGCTGATGCTGACAACCGTATAGTCGCCAGTCAGCACAGGAAGGTCAGTGTGCAGTGTTGCCAGAAACTAAATTTATTTGTCCTTCGAAGAATCCGGTGTTTAAGCATTTTTTTTTATTGCGTAATATTAATCTACATCAATTTTTAGAAAACCCGTGTTTTTTTATTTTGTTCAAAAGTTATCACTAACTTCAAAAAAAAATTATTAAAATTCCTTATTTGAATTTCACTGTAGAGGAGCGCGTGACGTAATCGCCCGCCAAGAGGCGTTGTACCACACAATTCCACGAGATGGCGCACTATCTTTTATAAAGTTTACAGTTTACTGTAGCATTTCGCATCTGTTCAGTCACTGTAAATCGCGCCATCGTCAAGCTGGAACTTTTGGACTCTTGGGAAGTCTATGAACAAGTCGGGAAAGTGTTTGGAAGAAGTCTAGAGAGGTCAGGAAAGGACTGGATAAGGTCTGGAGCAGTCTGCACAAGTCTGGACTAGTCTGGATAAATCTGGATAGTCTAAATAAGTCTGGAAAAGTCTGGAAAATGTCTGGAAATGTCCGGAAATGTCTGGAAAGAGCCTGGAAATTTCTGGAAAGGGTTGTTGAAATTCTGCCAAAGGTCCCAAAAGACCTGGGGATCATTTTCCAGAATCCGGATCAGTCTGTACAAGTCTGGGTAAAGTCTGGATAAATCTGGATAAAGTCTGTAAAACTCTGGATAAGTCTGGATATTATCGAATGTAATACCACAAGAGGTTTCAGAATTACCGGATAATACTTTTAGCTGCCACGAAACGCGTTACGCAGCAACACCACGACTCTGAAAGAGGAGTGGTGTTGCTGGTAACGCGTTGAGTGTCAGGTAAAAGTATTAGGTAATCCTGAAACATCGAGTGGTATTCAGAAGGTTATACAACGAATCAAACTTCAATAGGTACTTTATTAATTTTTATTGGCAAATGAACAATATTGCCACCAAGCGCGATAATCCCAAAAGGCTTATCACTTATTAAGCCTCTCGTGTCATATGGGAATAATGTATAGTGAGTTGTATAATCTGTAAAAGTCTAGAAATCTCTGGAAACGTCTGGAAAAGACTTGGAAATTTCTGGAAAGGGTCGGAAAAATTTTGGAAAAGGTCCCAATAGACCTGGGGATTATTTTCTAGAATCCGGATCAGTCTGAACCAGTCTGGATAAAGTCTGGATAAATCTGGATGAAGCCTAGAAAACTCTGGATAAGTCTGGATAATGTATGGAAAAGTCTGGAAACGTCTGGAAAAGGCCTGGAAGCTTCTTGAAAGGGTCGGAAAAATTCTGAAAAAGGTCCCAAAAGACATGGGGATCATATTCTAGAATTCGGAGCAGTCTCTACAAGTCTGGATAAGGGCTGGATAAATCTGGATGAAGTCTATAAAACTCTGGATAAGTCTGGATATTGTCTGGAAAAGTCTGGAAATCTCTGGAAAAGGCTTGGAAATTTCTGGAAAGAGTCGGAAAAATTCTGGAAAAGGTCCCAATAGACCTGGGGATCATTTTATAGAATCCGGATCATTCTGAACAAGTCTGGATAAAGTCTGGATAAATCTTGATGAAGTCTGGAAAACTCTGAAAAGCTCTGGATAAGTCTGGATACTGACTGGAAAAGTCTGGAAACGTCTGGGAAAGGCCTGGAAACTTCTTGAAAGGGTCGGAAAAGTTCTGGAAGAGGTCCCAAAAGACCTGGGGATCATATTCTAGAATTCGGAGTAGTCTGTACAAGTCTGGATAAGGGTTGGATAAATCTGGATGAAGTCTGTAAAACTCTGAATAAGTCTGGATATTGTCTAGAAAAGTCTGGAAAGCTCTGGAAACGTCTGGAAAATTCTTGAAAGGGTCGGAAAAATTCTGGAAAAGGTCACAAAAGACCTGGGGATTATTGTCTAGAATCCGGATCAGTCTGAACAAGTCTGGATAGGTCTGGATGAAGTCTGGAAAACTCTGGATAGCTCCGGATATAAGCCTGAATAATGTCTGGAAAAGTCTGCAAATCTCTGGAAACGTCTGGAAAAGGCTTCGAATTAACACGCTTTTATTAACTTCACCTGTATATATGTTTGTTTGGTTGTTTGTTTGTATGTTTGTAAGTAACTCTCCTTTGGACTAAAAGCAAGTGGCTTATTACTGTTGTATAAACAACTACACAACAAATGTTGATAGAATCAAATTATTTTAAAAGCAGTTTTCAAGTATATCCCTCTACCTTAAGTTCGTTCGTTGGCCGAACGGTCTAAGGCGCGGGTCTTCGCTGACGACAACTCCCAGACACACCAATCGTGGGTTATAATCCCTTTCACGGCCGAAAAAAAATAATTGTTTTTTTCAGTTGGAGATTTACACCACTACTTACAATAGTAAACTCCATAAATAAAAAAATATTTATATTAAAAAATCTGCGCCATGTTCATGTTCACAAGAACTTACAAATTCTTTTTTAATAATTAATTGAACCAAAAAGTAAAAAAAAAAAAATATATTTAGTTTGAAAAAACTAAAAAACACGCTTTTATAGTAAATTGAACTAGAAAGTGAAAAATAATTTTTAATATAAACAGAAAATATTATAATTATTGTGAAAAAATCGTGGGGTGATCAATGTACGACAAATGTGGAACAAAACACCCCACGCTTTTTTCACAAAACTTTAGCGCCAACCGTAAAAATTGATAACTGTAAAAAATGAAGACATTATAACTTAACACATTTTATTATAAGAGCAAAAAAGAACGCATCTACTCATTGTTTATTACATTTTTCAGTTTTTAGTTCGATGTATTATTTTGTTGTTCATTTTTTTAATAGTCTAGGAAAATTGTCGATTTTCAAAAAGAATATTCCTACCTAAGGGAAGAACGATATCTATCTTCTTGAAACAGCAGGGGCGCAGCGTTCCCAGGAGAACGAGTGTTCCGTCTTTGTCAATGATACGCAACTAATAATATAAGTAACAAAGACGGAACACACGATCTTCTAAGAACGCTGCTTCCCATAGGCGCCAGAGCCATGGGGGCGATGGGGCATAGGCGCAACTAGGGGGGTGCTTGGGGGTGCTAAGCACCCCTAAAGCAAAAATTAGCACTCCTATTCGGCATCCCACCATAGCACTGCCACTACCTAACACTTATATAAAAAATTAGTGCAACCAAATTATTTTATGTACGTATTTTTTTTTGCACTTTTTGTACTTACTTACGTCATCGATGACGTCATAATTTAGAAAAAAGTATTTGTCGTTGATTAATTCGTAGAGCACGTTCGCAATTATTATTGTTATGGAATAAAAATTTTCAACCGGGGTCGGTATTACAATATTACCTTAAAATCAAGACTTACCCTAAAATATACGGTTTTTATGTTATACTAGCTGACCCGGCGAACTTCGTACCGCCTCTGAATTATTAAATATACCTATTTGTACCTATTAAATCCATTATTAAAAATTCCAGTTAAATTTAATCTCCGGTTAAGCTCAAAGTTGGTGTCAAATGATAGTTTTCCTCTAAAATTAACCTATTAGGTTTTACAGCCTGTCAAAGTTGCAAAAAGTCAATTTTCAACTGTCAATATTTCCAAAACAGTTGAACTTAGGTATAGGGTATATCACATGAAATCTGCTCAGAATTTTACGTAGAATCCAAATATGTAATCACATACAGGGTGTTCTATTTAAAATAGCGATGTTGCCACTAGTTTAGAGTAGAAGCGGCAACACCGCATGGTCAAAAATATTTTTAAAGTGTAGATCATGGTCGTTTATCCCGGTTGCCAAATTTTCAAAATGATCCGCTTTTTAGTTCTCCATAAACGTCTAATACGCCATCCACCGTGGGACACCCTGTATAGATTTAGGATGACCTCATCGGACAAGATCAAACAATGTTGTCAATGTCTATGTTTATTCTATATCTTGGTGATATTGAAATACCGGCCCTTAAAAAATCATTGGAATCCCAAATATATAAATTAATTAACTGCGTATTATACAGGGTGTTCTTAAATATCATGTACAAACGACAAAGGATGATTCATTTTTTTTACGACTGAAATCTCAAATATGTTCTAAAAAATTGACTTATTTAAGCAATTAAAAAAAAATTCACCCTCTTATATTTTAATTTTTTTCTAGAAAACTTGCAAAGAGAAAATTTTGAAAAATTTCCAGGAATAAGAGGAAAATGAGAAGTTCATTTTACGAAAATTTCAAAATTTTCCAGTAAAAAATCACTCTAGGGGAGCTTTATTTGATATTGATGCAACTTTGCGTACACGCAAATGACGTCATTTTGGATTGAAAATTGGTGCACGGCATATATAGAAATGTACTTTTTCAATCGAACATGACGTCATTTGTGTCATATTTGCGTGTACGCAAAGTTGCATCAATTTCAAATAAAGCCCCCCAGGAAAAAATCTGAAAAATTGATTTTTTCAAGTAAAATTAAGGAAAATTCACCTCTTACATTTTAATTTTTTTCTACAAAACTTGCAAAGAGAAAATTTTGAAAATTTTCCAGGAATAAGAGGAAAATGAGAAGCTCATTTTACGAAAATTTCAAAATTTTCCAGTAAAAAATTAATCCAGGAAAAATTTTGAAAAACTTACTTTTCAGCAAAATTAAGGAGAATCCTCTTACATTTTAATTTTTTTCTAGAAATCTGGCAAAGGGAAAATTGTGAAATGTTTCCAAAAGAAAAAGAAAAGTGAGGAGCACATTATAGAAAAATTTCAAATTCATTTTCCAGCCAAAAATCACTCCAGAAAAATTCTGGGAAATTGACTTTTTTAGGCAAAATTCACCCTCTTACATTTTGATTTTTTTTTGGGAAACTGGCAAGAAAATTGTGAAAATTTTCCAGAAAAAGAAGAAAATAAAGAGCTCATTATAGCAAATTTTGTAATTTTCGAAACCTCGTAGTTTCGGTAATTTTTCTTTAGAAATTTTTTAATTCCTGTCATTTCTCGAATAATTCTTATAATTTTTTTATTAATTCC